GTTTTGCCCCTGCCCTGGCTCCAGTGTGTTGGCCCTGCCTCGGGCTCATCGAATGCGGCTGCTACCCCAGCTGCAGGAGGACACTGAGCATTTCAGAGCAGGGGTGCCCCTGGCAGCTAGTGAGCTGTCCTGAGCTGCAGGTGTATTTTGTTTTCCCTGCACAGAGTTTAAACAACTTTTTGAAGTCGGTGCCAATATTTTTGAAAGCAAGAGACTTTACATAGATACCGCTGTGCACCTTCCTTTGTTACTGCAGAAGATCTGGAATGTTTGGTCTGCTGTCTTGTGAGGGTCCTGCTGTCTCCATTTCTCCCCAGGCCACACCCTTCCCTATCACTTCTGATGGTACCATAGGTACCCATATACATTGTCTTCTTCTCATTATTTTTATTATTCATTTGAATTTATTTATTATTTTTATTTTTTTAGAGACAGGATCTCTTTCTGTCACCCAGGCTGCAGTGCTGTGGCACCATCATAGATCACTGCAGCCTCAACCTCCCAGGCTCAAGTAATCCTTCTGCCTCAGCCTCCCAAGTAGCTAGGACTACAGGCGCACACCACCATGCCTGGCTTCCACATAAGCTATGTTCCCAGCCTCTGCAGACATTTGTGATGGCAACCCCAGTGAACCCAGAGGCATGCTTCCACACTCCTTCTAGTACCTGGGTTGGGTGCAGGAATGGCCTCATATCTAGGCAGTCCTGATCCTAAGCCTCCTCGCCTTCCCTCTCCCACCGTCTAACCAGAGGAATGAGACACTGGGATAAGCTCTTTGAATATAGCATTTCATTGACTCTTCACAACAGGCAGCTGATGTCATTACTATTTCTCCATTTTACAGATGAGAAAACTGAGGTTCCAACAGGTTATGGTCATCCATCTCCATGGATGCAGCAGCTTCCACCTCTCCAGCTCACTTGAGGAGCTTTGCAAAGACACAGCCTTCTGGATCTCACCCGAAGCCTCCCAGTCCCAAAGCTCTCAGTGGTGGGGCTGGGGAACCCTGTCTTAAACGGCTCTCCTGTGAGATGCTGGGTCAGGTTTGGGCCCCGCTTCTCTTAATGGTCGTGTGGAGGGTGGGAGCAGAGGCCCCTCCCGCTCCAAGCACCATAAAGGAATGATCTCATTCCTTCTCAAATCCAGATTCTGCCCCAGATTTGCTGCACAGTCTGAAGCCAACCACTCTCCAAGCTCCGCACCTGAGTTTCCCCATGTGTGGAAGGAGAAAATAGCTCCCGCCCCCTGCCTGCCTTCCAGGAATGGGCACGTGGAGCAGGCTCCGCGGGAGGCAGGGAGGGGGTGTGGCTGGGACTTGCGGGTGCCTGTGCTTCTCTCAGAGCTACTGGCACCCCACCTGCCCCCTGTGGTGGGGCTGGATGGAGCTCAGTCTGTCCCCACCTCTTGTACCCCTCACCATTTGTACCAGTCCCTCCTTCCCAGGACCCTGGGCTGGCTGCAGCTGCTCCAGCTCCTCCTCCGCAGCCAGGTGCTTCTGTCCTCCCCCTCCTGCCTACACTGTTGCCTGCCATTGGGGTCCCCCTTGGAGCTGGAAATCGCTGACTTGAGTGGCAGAGCAGGGAGCCACCACCCATTAAAGAACCTTCAATTCAGAGGGGAGTCCCGTGGGATGGCCCCATCATACAGGCTATCTGAGTTCCAGGTGGGCTCAAGTCAGAACTGGGACCAGAAATGAGGCAGCCACCAGGCCAGGGCTAGGGACCGCTCGGTGGCTGAGTCCATCTTGAGCCCGGACATGCTTGTGTCTGCCATGTAGTGGCGCTGTGCAATCTCCTTCTATTCCCTGACCTCACAGGCCTCAGCCTCCTCATCTGAAAACATGAGGCTGGGGGAGCACTGCCCCCGCAGGGAGAGCTCCAGCGGGTGGGGATCAGGTCCGGCTTGCTCAGTGCTGTGTCCTTGGCTTGCAGGATCTGAACCATTCAATAACCATCAGGAAATTAAACAACTATTGATTAAACAAGAAAATACACATGAAGCCGTTAATAACAGCACTCAATAGCAAATGAGCCCGTAGCAAATGCTGGATAAACATTTGCTGTTCTTGTTAGTGGACCGCAGCAGAACCACTGGGCAACATGGAGGTCATGAAATTCTGAGGGAATCCCCAGAACAGGTTCAGTGTGAAATCCCAGAGCCCGGGAACCCCCAGGGGGTCCCTGGTGCCCACTCAGGAACGTCGGGTGCCACATCCCCCTTTGTCACGGGTCCTGCGTCTCTGGCTTCTCAGCACGGCTGGACTTTCCCAGGGGAAATGAAGAGGGAAAAGGGGAGGTAGCCTCAGCTCTTCCTTGAACCATCTAACCCGACCCAATTCAACGACAAGCCAAGCTGCTGCCTGAGGAGTGTTTACTCTCTCTCTGAATTGATTGCACACTCTCGCCACCACCTCGGCTCCTCCCTGCCGCCCGCAGAGGCTGGGTGCCAAGGGGAACCACCTCCAGGGAGATATGAGCTCCAGGCAGCCTCAGTTGTCTTGTCACAGATGGGAAATCGAGACAGGGTGCAGAGGGGCAGGGTTTGAACCCCAGGTCACCCTGCTGGGGTTGAAGTGGCACCACCAGACCCTGACCATCACAGGCCCATTCTGGACCCTACAGCTGGCCCAGACATGAGGGCCCCACATGAGCCACCTTAGGAAATGTAAGGCGGGGTCCTTGAACAGTTGCCTGAAGGTGAGGGTTTCCCTGAGCAGCCCAAGGTCAGAAGACAAGCCAGGAGCCTGCAGGGCCTGGGGAGCTGGTTCCCAGCTCTGAGCTGCTAAGCCCGGGGATTGGCGGGTATCTAGAAACAACCAGACAATGGCATTCCAAGGGCAGAGGTCACAGAGATGCCCAGGGGCTGAAAGTCTGGACACCAGCTTCCACCACAGTGCCTGAATATGGGGTGTTTTCCAGAACATTCCTGATTTTGAGTATCCTGTCCCAATTGAGGTGGGTTAGAGATCACGGGTATCAGAACCACAAGCCCCTGTCTGCACCTGCTTCACTCCCATCTGCCAGACTTGAAGCTGACTCTGGCTTCATGAACGACCTGCCTTTGCCTTTGCCCACCTGGAATCCACACACACCGTCAAAGTGAAACAAAATGCAAACACAAGCTGGAAACAGCAGCACCACAGTGGCCTGTCCAGCCTCACCATGCAGGCGTCACCACAGCACATGGCTGGCAAACGGGCTTCCAGCCTTTCTCCCCAACCCATGATGTTTGTCCCAGTCTTGTGTACACTTACAGCCGATGTGTGTTCAAGACGCAGAAATGATACACAAGGCGTATCATATATTTTACAAAAACAGGATTATGCTCTACATGCCATATGGCAAATCACTTTTTCCACTTGTCAGGAATTACAGATTTGGGTGGGCATTGAGAGCCTGCAGTGGAGAGATGCCCACAGTGAGTGATCATACCAGCTGGGCTCCCCAGGTGCAGCCCCTGTCTGTACCTGCCTAAGCCAGGCTCCTGGCCCGGACTGCCCCAGCACCCTTGGGTCTCAACTCTCTCCTCCCTCAGCCCACCCCAGCCCTCTCACTCCATTATTTTGTCCAATTTTTTTTATTAAACACTTTTTTTTTTAAGCACATATTATGTGCCAGGCACTGTTCTGAGTACTTCATCAACTTTAACTCATTTAACCCTCACCATAATCCAGCAAGAGAAGTATGTTTGTTACCATCCCCATTCTACAGATGGCCCAGGGAAGATGGCATTGCCCCCACAGACTGGCATATTATCTGCCAAAAGAATCAATGACCTAGGACAGCACAGAACCATGTATTCCTCCACAATCTAAACAGCTTTTGGGAGGTAAAGGCTGCTTTCTTCTCCTATGACAGTCTTTTGCCTTCCTCAAAGTTGCCTCAAAACACATTCCTCTCCAGAGCTGGCCAAGAAAGAGCTGCTTCAGCAGGTCTGGGGTGTCCACACCCTGCACATTCCAAAGAAAGGTCTGACTCTGGCTTACTGCGAGGTGACCCCTAATCCATAAGCCCTTGGAGTGTCCTGTCTAGAAAGAGAGTCCATGTTTGCCTGCGGGTCTTGGCACACATCAGAAAGCCTATGCTGATGAGATTTACTGGGGGGCCTTGAGCCATGTAGTATCAGCTCGACCTCTGCAGGGATTGACGCCAAAGACCAGCCACATCATCAGCAATGCCTCTACCATCAGCTTCCAATAGAAACTCCACACTGAGGCTTTGGTAAGCATCCCTGCCTGGCGATAGCTCACAAGCGTTGTCCCATGTCACTGCCGGGAGAATCAAGTGCTGCCTGCACAACCCCACTGGGAGGGCACAATGAGAAGCTTGCACCTGCTATCTCCTGGACCCAGACCTGGGCACCTTTTCCTGTTGCTGATTTTAATCTGTATCCTTCATTGTAATAAATCATAACTGTGAATATAGCAGCTTTGCTGAGTTCTGTGAGATTTTCTAGTGAATCGTGGAGCCTAAAGGTGGTCTCGGAAACCCTTGAATGTGAGTCAGTGGACATTCACTGAGTCAGTGGACAGCCTCAGAGCACTTCTCACAGTCAGCACCAGGAGTTAGCCCAGCCCTGCCCAGACAGACTCCACTCCTGCCCTCCACACCTCCAACACATGTACTTCCTTCCTCCAACACATGCACCTCCTTCGGTGGAAAAGCTCAGGCATTGGGTCTGTGCAGTCCCGGCCATCCTAGACAGCCCCTATGATGTAATATCAGGTAATGTCCTGGGAACCAGGTAATGTCCCAGGTGCTAGGTAACCTCCTGGAAACCAAGTAACATCTCAAGAACCAGGTTATGTCCCAGGTACCAGGTAACAGCCCAAGAACCAGGGGATATATCACATACCAGGTAACCTCAAGGGAACCAGGTAACATCCCAAGAACCCGGTCATGTTTCACATACCAGGTAACATCCCAGGTATCCAAACACATCCCAGGTAACGGATAGCATCAAAGGTGGCAGGTGACATCCAGGGCTTCCCCCGGCCTTACCTGCCAATGACCTCGATGTTGGAGATGGCGTAGAAGTACTTGTAGAGGTTCTCCCGCTGCACGTAGGTGCCGCCCAGCGCCGGGCGCAGCAACCGCATGCGCAGGTCAGTGAGGGTGAAGAACTCCTTGAGGCCCTTGGCGCTCTCCAGACGCGTGTAGAGGTTGTCCATGTTGCGCAGGTCGGGGCCGGCAAAGCTGTCTCTTATACACATCTAGATGTGTATAAGAGACAGATCACTTGCACCCGGGAGGCGGAGGTTGCAGTGAGCCAAGATCGTGCCATTGCACTCCAGCCTGGGCAACAAGAGCAAAACTCCGTATCAAAAACAAACAAACAAAACAAACAAACAAAAAAACCCCATAGACCTGTACAACACAGTGAGTGAACTCTCATGTAAACTATGGACTTTAGTTAATAATAATGTATCAACAATGGCTCATCAGACATGACTAATATGGTGGCTCACGCCTGGAATCCCAACACTGCGAGGCCGAGGCCGGAGGGTCACTTGAGCCCAGGAGTTTGAGACCAGCCCAGACAACACAGAGAGACTCTGTCTCTACAAACTATGTAGCACCACTGCACTGTAGCCTGGATGACAGAGAGAGACCCTGTCTCTAAAGAAACCCCCCAAAACCCCAAATATCCCCCACTAATGCAAGATGTTGATAATAGACGGGGAAAGATGGCGGGTGGGGGAGGGCGGCCTGGGGTTTTAGGTACTTTCTGTACTATCTGCTCAATTTTCTGTAAATCTAAAACTGCTTTAAAATATTAAGTCTACTAATTAATTAAACAAACAAATAATCGAACACTGTCACTAACAGCCATACAGTGCTCCCGACCACTTGCGGCCCTTTTTGATGAATATTTCAGGCATCTGGTTTGCTCAAAGACAAAATGGCTTGGATCTAAGTTAAAACTTCTCACTCTCAAATGAGCTGTTTGGTCTCCTTGGGGGAAGTGGGGCCCACCACCCTCCGAAGGGCTGTGCCACACCCCTGTGGCCCCCACCAGGCGCCACTGCAGCAGCCTCAGCCTGTGGGCTTCGATCCTCTAGGGTGGAGGACAGGTACCCCGGCTGCCTGGGGCTCCTCGGTGGCAGGGCTGACCCTCGGCTCATTGAGGCAGGTTCCACAAATCCCTCTTTGACCAAAATAGCTCTGTCCTCAGGCCCCCATGCAACCTCAGAGTGGCAGGAGCTCACCATAAAGTCCAGTACCTCCTTAAGCAGATGGGGAGACTGAGGCCAGGGCCAGGGCAGGACTGGCCCCAGCCTTCTGGAGAGCGGATGGCACCTCTGAGGAGGAGTCTGCTGTTACCATCAGAGATATCCACACCACTGGCAAGCCCACCGAGCCAGAACAGCAGAAGGACGTGGTGGGGTCAGGGGGTGTGGTTCCCAGCTTCCCCACTCACTGGCCGGGTGACTCTGGGCAAGATGCTGCCCTGTCCTGTGCTGTTGCCTGGAATGGTGTGGGGCTGAGAGGCCATGGGGATGGCCCAATGGCCTGAGTGGGTAGCAGGTGCTGGGCTGGAGGAGGTAGGCTTGACCTGTGAGGGAGCTGGCAGCCAGGAAGGGCGCTCTGAGCCTGGACGCAGAATGGGCTCTGTCTGTGCCACTCGGGAGGAGGAGTGGTGGGCAGGCGCTCCAAGAGCTTGCACCTGGGCTCTGGCACTGAGGTACATGCCCCTCTTCCCCCAGCCCAGCCATCACCCCCTTCCCGAAGTCCCAGAGCTGCTTCTGTTGCCCCTGGAGACTTCCTAGGGGCTGAATGGTGTTCGCCCAAGGTTTCTATGTTGAAGCCCTAACCCTAGTATCTGAGAATGGGACTGTATTTGGAGATAGATTATCTTTCAAGAGGTGATTGAGGTTAAATGGGACCCTCAGGGTAGGCCTAGTCTAATCTGACTGGTGGCCTCAGAAGAAGTTTGGCTGCCTGATGAGACGCTAGGGCCCATGTGCACAGAGAAAAGGTCGTTGGAAGGCACAGTGAGACAGCGGCTGGCTCCAAGCCAGGGAGAGAGGCCTCTGCAGAAACCAAACCTGCCAACAACTTCATCTTGGACTTTCAGCCTCCAGAACAAGGAAAGACATTTTTGTTGTTTAAGTCACCTGGGTCTCGTGTGGTACTTTGTTATGGTGGCTGGAGCTAAGACAAGCCTCATCCCAGGTGTGAGCAAAGAGGGAACAGGGAGGAATGGGAGGAATGGCTCAGAGGGGTAGAGATGAATCGGAGTTTTTGATGATTTCCCCAGAGGCTCTCTCTGGGGTCTCCCCCGCCAGCCTGGTTTCTTAGTACGCTGGCACCAAGTGGCGTCACACTGCCTCACCTCCCCAGAAAGCTCTTATCAACCCAGCACTGAAGCTGTGCCATTTCCCAGGCCACTTCGTCCTCTCCCACCTCGGAGCTTGTGCTCCTTTGGCCACTCTCTGTCCTCCTGGTTTTCAGAGCCCTCCCACATGTGCCTCCTCCAGGAGGCCCTCCTGACTTGAATCAATCTTTTTTTTTTTTTTTTTTGAGACAG